TATATATATGTATATATGACAAATATATCAAAAATGCTTGTGGGTACTCAAATGAAAGCTCTTGATGAGTGTAACATCGGGATGAGTTTATATCTTAAAAAATGTCAATATTTAAGAAAGTACAGTACTATGAATAAAGGATATATAGATAGATATATAGTTTCTAGTGTACAGGCGTAATAACGCCCTTTTACAACCCCAAGCCTTCACATTTCTGCTTAGTTAACCTGCCTTATCATTGCGGCTGTGGACCGACTTGTGCCTTCTGTACCGTATTCACCCTGATCCTCACCACTCGGGTATTGGAACAGAAACATGGGGGGGGGGGGGAAACCACAGAGAAAACCCATGTTAGTACAGTTGGAGCTGGGTTAAGTCTACAGTGAGATAAGAAATTCTTCTTTATTGACCACTGGAGCATTAGGCCCCTCTCCTAGTGTGCAGAGATCCCTCGCGCTAGCCAACGCTGACTAGAGTGGTCACTCATTTAAGTTGTTGCTTAAATGCGGGTGATCGCCCAAGTCAGACGTGTGCCGCCCGGCTATCTCTGCCACTTCCAGAGGTTGGCAATGTAGCGTTACGCACATATTTTATTCTGAAAAATATTGGTGCGTGCTGGGATCGAACCCGGGTCCCACTCTTTCGAAAAGTGAGCACCGAGCCGACCAGGTCATTGCCAACCTATGAATAAAGGATATATATTAATTTCTTAAATCTCTAAATACACATTTTGCAGTTTTTAAATGAATAAAAATAATTTTTTTTTATTTAATGAATAAAATAAAGAATTTTCGCCACGGAGTTTTTTTTATTCAATAATATAAATAAAATCATACTTGTCGGAGTGAGTTTCAAAGATGCTTCTTCTATTGAAGAATTAAAGTAATTAAAAATTGTCTACTCTGCATTTACTCTGCAAATAACTCCGTAAATTATTACAATCTAAATATCAAATATTTTAAGTATGTATAATCGAAATTTCGGTGGAAAAATAACTATAAGGAAATAAGAAAATTATCTTATATTGACATTGAATTCAAAGTATATAGATTACAACCTTTTATTATTACCCAAATCTTTCCAAGCTTCTCATATAAGTATACATGTATATGTCAATAGTGAAACTGTAATTTATTTATTTCTTCCATGTAGTTTATTTACAATGAATCTGTCATTATAATTCAAATCATTTATTAAATAAACTCAATTAATAACTAATGAAATAATAAATTCATGAGTGCCTATAAATAAATTCTGTACATCATAATATAATTATTATTATCATGTATCCATGCGTGACGGGTATCTTTGACAATAGTTAAATTAGCCCAAGTATTATAATTATTTTTCTTTTACACAAAATCAATTTTGTGCGTTACTCCCTCTTGAGTTTGTGTTTGTGTAGTATTTTTTTTCGATAAAACCCAAACACATTTGATGGGGTGGATCGAGACTTGCGCGTTATCTTCCCTTTACATATACTCTTCTTCCGTCGGCGTACAACCAAAGGATCTCTGACTTTAGTACAACGTGTTGATCGCTCTTTACTTACTTTAATATTTATAAATTCAATCAGCATATGGATTTCAAAAATCGCCAATCACCGGCTTTATCTTTCGTAAGTAATTACTTTTAATTTTTACTCAACGAAAATTAATAAATTATTAACATTAATTTCAAATGATCAATTAGTCATCGTTTAAAAACACCTGTCACATGCGCGCGTAAATTTGTAATTTTATGGTACTTGTTGCTTTTACTTTTTCTCTATTTCATTATAAGAATTTTTGCTAATTAAATATTTTTTTTTTTTTTTTAGGTAAAAAATGAAGCGAATCGTTGAAAGTAAATCAAACTGAAATTTTTTATAAATTTTTTTAATTGGAAAAATAATTTATTGAAGACAGATAATTGGCTATTTTTAAACATTCGAGGTATGTATAATTTTTTTTTTATTGAAAAAAATTAGTCAGTTTGTACTTGGATAAAAAACTTTATTAATTGTTAATAAATTAATTTATTTAGGAAAAATTTATTCATTTATAAAATATAGCTAATTGTTTTCAACTTTTAATAAATAGTTTTTTTTGAAGACAAGTGTATTTATTAAGATTTAATAAATTTTTTTTTAATTAATAATATTACAATTTTTGATAATAAAGATACGCTAATAATTTTCAACAGGGAAAAAAATTTTTGTAATTTATTGCAAGTATTGTTTTATTATTAATTTTAAAAAGAAAACTATTAATCTACTCGATATCTATTAGAGAACTCATATATTATCAATAGAAATTGTAGGACTATAAAAAAGTGTCAAAGTGGAGTTTTTATACTCACTTTTTTTTTCAAGGGTATAAACAAATGCTTATTAAAAATTATTAAATCATATAATATTCAAAAATCATTTATTAACAGTTAATAAAGCTTCTTAATTAAATATTAACAAAAATTCTTCCATTACTGTAAAGTTATTGAAGTATAAAAGTTTTGGCATCAGTGCAGGATACCCGCGTTCATATCAATAAGAAAAGAAATTTTTTTCTTAAAAAACCATGACAGATCTTTGCAGTTAATTTTTTGTAGTTCTCAAAACCATCCTGAAATTTTTGATGCTATAATTAGTTGCTAAGGTATTTTGATGTTTGGGTATTTTGTCTGCGAGTATTTTATTGAGCAGCCGTAATTTCTTATCAATTATAATTATACTTCACAATAGGAATAGTTTTATTAATTTTTACTATTGTTATCAGTAATTAACTTTTTTCATGTTTTGCACGGTTATGTTTTAATAAAGTTTATTATCATTATTTATAATTTTGATTTAATTCTCACTACAATGACAGAATGCAATTACATGTGTGTCATCGCCGTAGACCTTGTGCGTAAATCGTGACGCAGGTGCACGTTTTGTCATGAATAGGAAACGTTTATTAATTTGTAATAATTATAGTCCTAAAAAGTAAACTCAGTAGTGAAGAAGAATAAAAAAACAAAAAAGTCCATTGCCATTAGAAAACAAAAATACTAAAAACAAAAAATAAAGCATAATAAGTATAAAAAAATTTTTATATATAAATTTCTAGTATAATATTATGAGAAATAATAAGTTGCACTGGAAATTTATTTCAGGATATTTTTTTAGTGACTCCACTACGGTCCTCGTTCGTTTAGTTGCGTTTTATTATTTATAGAAAGACGAAATATACCGCACTTGTATCGAGAAGTTTGTGGGTTTAAAACCTCGTAGTCATACTCATTAGTTATTAATTATTAATTATAAATTCACATTCAATAACATAAAACCGATTACTGCTGAGTTAAATTTAAAAGTTGTGAGTTATTAATAGATGACAATTATAAAACAATCAGTGCGTGCTTACTAACCGTGAGAAGACAAGTTCGCGTGTTGTTTCAATATAAAGGATATTTTGTTTTTAGTTTCGGAGGTAAGATCTATTTCTGTTTAACGATAATTATTATTTAATTTTCTCATCAATTTTTATTAATTAATAGCTATAACTTAAATTTTATTAATTGATAGTTTGTATCTAAAAGAGAAAGTTAACATATTATTTTAGCGAACTAAATTTTTGCAAATAAGATCAACTAAATTTAAAGACCTTGCTCCTGAAGAACGCTGCAGAAATTGATTCTAGTTTTATTGTTTAATGTATTCGTTGAGTAAGAAAACGTGACCGAACTTACAAGTGTGCTCACAATAAATCTTTTAACTTTTATGCTTTATTTTTTTCAGATAAAATTCTTTAAATTAATAAAATTTTTTTTTCATCAAGTATACTGTAAATAATCAAGAGTAAACTCGGAGTGAATTTACACTTCCATCACTCGAGGTACCGGAGTGAAGAAATAAAACCCTACGCGTAAGGAGTAAATCTGGAATTTTTTTTTCAATGGAGTGAATATGAATTTCAATTTAATAAAAAATCCTAGTGCGGAGTTTTTAGATTAAAATTCATTTTTATTGAGCTGAAACAAGTTTAACATGACAAATTACTAACAAATACTACAAACTATTTATCTCAAGTTGAAGATTGTAAATATTAATTATATTTTTTTAATTAATTGACTTCGGAACATTGAATCAAATTTTTATGGAGATTATTTTCTTTTTAAGTTTTGTTGATAAATTTAAATGTAAAAAGTAAAAAAATAAATCATTAACATTACCACGTTTAATTAAATAAAATTAATTACTTTAAAGGTACTAAAATTTAACTTTTATATCGCAATTTTTGGGATTTCTTAAAAAATAAATTATTATGAATTTATAAAAAAAAAAAAAAAAATGCTATTTATAGAAAAATAAAATTTCAATGCAATTTTTTTTAAATATTAAAATTTATTTGTTATATATTTGTCATATGTCCAAATAGTAATAAATGGTATAATAATTGTTAAAATTTCTAAATACACATTTTATAATTTCTAAACGAATAACAATAATTTTTTTATTTTTACTCAACAAAAAAAAATAAAGAATTCACTCCGCGGAGCTCTTGTTTATTAATTATATACATGAAATCCTTCTCAGAGTGAATTTCACTCTGGAGGGATAAAATCAATTCAAAATCATATTCACTCCGCACAATTTTTACAGTCTACTGATAATTCAGCTTATTAGTCATTGATTAGAAAAATTTAATTTATCTTTTGCGCAGAAAATTGAATGCGAGAAAATGTATGGACTAATACTCGAAAATATGTCCGAATACATTCGGCAAAAATACGGAGAGGACAAATGGGAAGAAATAAGAAGAGTCGCGGCTGTTGATCAGCCCAGTTTTAGTGTTCACCAAGTCTATCCGGAAACTTTGATCCCACGACTCGCTAAAAAAGCCATTGCGGTAAGTTTTTCTTAATAAAAAAAAAAAAAGAATTCAGTTTATCAATGACAATCCATTAATTCATCTTCAGATACTTGGTGTCTCAGAAAAAGAGTTCTTCGATCAAATGGGGGTACATTTCGTAAGTTTCGTCGGTCAATATGGATACGACAGAGTTCTGTCGGTATTGGGCCGACATGTTCGTGATTTTCTCAATGGGCTCGATAATCTTCATGAGTATCTAAAATTTTCTTACCCTCGTATGCGAGCGCCATCCTTCATTTGCGAAAATGAAACTCGTCAAGGTAAAAATAGTTATTCACATTAAATTTTGGAGTTAAGAATAATTTTTAATTTTCAATGGTTAATGACTAAACAGGTTTGACACTCCATTACCGAAGCAAAAGACGTGGCTTCGTTTATTACACCATGGGCCAAATACGCGAAGTTGCGAGACATTTTTACCACAAGGATCTGCTGATTGAGCTAGTGCGTGAAGAAGTACTTTTCGACACGGTACATGTAACTTTCCAGCTAACGTTCGATAATCGGGCGTTTACGCTAGCGTCACTAGCGATGACGCGGGAAGAAAAACACTTACCGATCGGGGCATCTGTTTTGTTTGAGATATTCCCATTTTGCATCGTTTTTGGGTAAGATATTAGCTCATAGATTAATTAGTAATAGATTAAAATGTTGGATTGTAACTTAAAAATTCAGATTTGTTACTTCAGATATGACATGATTGTTAAGAGCATCGGTAATTCTCTGATGGTAATTTTACCAGATTTGGTTGGGAAGAAAATCACACATTGGTTTGATTTAGTGAGACCGTTGATTGCTTTCAAGTTTCAATCGGTGAGTATCAGTGATTGATCGATTTTATTGGATTTGAAGACTTCTCTGATTAGAAAATAAAAATTCAGTTATTTAGTTCTTAAGTGGGTAATAAGGTCTGAAGAATATTAGTGATAAAATATAAAATATCCAATTTAATTAACAGATTTTTATGTTAAACATTATTCGAGTACATTTTGTTAAAAATATAAATAATAAATGATTTTACCATAAACAAAATTTTAATAATAAATGATTTTACCATAAACAAAAATAAAAATATGTATTTAAAAAAACTTACAATCAGATTTCATTTTACTACAGTCAGAAAATTTTTACATATTTTTTAACATAATTAAATAGTTCAAGCATATTTAATAGTATTTAAAATCTATGGTTAATAAAGTATTATTTTTAAATTAATAATATGATTGTTAATTTCAAATATCATGTTATATCAAGTATAGTTTAATGATTTCAGTTAGTGTGCAAAAGGCATATACTTCATTACCCTGCTACACTTTAAATGGTTAATTTTGTTTTTGTTTGTAGTAAAAATAACCATTTTTTGATTATATTTGATAGAAAATATCCTTAAATAGTTTTTAACATCAACATTTATGGATATAGTTTTCTTTTCATTACAAATATTATTTAATGAAGGGCCTTATTATCTACAAATACGTTTTTGTTACAACAATAATTTTAATTTGGTAACCGACGGACACTTATAAACTTATAAACAAAAAAAAATGAATAGAAAGTAACAATTATTTCATTGAAAAGGTTCAAAGATATCTCATGGAGAAAAATTTTCTTCTACTTTGATATTTGAAATTTTATAATTGCAGGGTTTCTTGAATATAAATCAAACCATCGAGATTTATAAAAAATGTTTTTGACAATTATAAGCTTGAAAAATACAATTTGTAGGAAAATTTTCTTGAATAACTCAACATGAGATCACTTTCGTTTCCAAAATTTTTTAATTAATAAATTTTTTATTGATCAGATAAATGTATTGAAGAAATATTAGGGGAAAGTGGGGCACGACGGCCCCCTGGGGCATAACAGCCCCTCTAAAAAATTAGGTAAAAATTTTTTTTTCCTTTTCCGTCAAATTATGACCTCTATGATGTTTTTATGATATTTTGGGCCAATATGTGATATGTGGGGTATAATGGACCAGTCGAAAAAAAAAATTGTAACGAAAAAAATTTTTTTTTTTTTCGAATTGTTATAAATTTAAAGAATTTATTATTTTAGGCCTTTTAAGGTCAATGGTATTTATCTTGGGTAAAATGAATTAGAAAAATTTTAATAAACTGAAAAATTTAAGAAATAATTGAATTATATAGCTTATAAAAAATTGAAAATACAGTTTTTTGAAATTAAAACAGTAATTATATTATTAATTATTGATCACGGTATCCTCTGCGCCATGCAGAAGCCTAATTTCAAAGTTCTATTTGAGTTCTTCCAAAGATGTCTTACTCTACGCAATTCATATTTCTAATTTTGACTTGATGAAAATATAGAAATAAAAAAAAAGCTCTGGTTCAAGATATTACGTATTTTAAAAGCTCAATCTGAAGACTTAACATGTGATTTCAATTAATGTAAACTAATGTAACCAATTAATTGCTGAATAACATCTCTGTATTTTTTCTTGTACGTAGGTTTAAAACCTCTAAGTGCAATAAAAGAAATTAATGATATTATTAATTATTATCTATTTAAAACTGGCGTCTTTAACAGCTTAACAATAAAATTTATAACAATTTTTTAAAAACCTTTACATGAAGTAAATTTTGAATAAAACATAAAACATAAATTTTCGATAATTAGGAAATCACATTGAGATAATTTAATGACGACGGTCTAATTAGCAATTGGTCTAACTCCTTATTTTTTAGAGGGTGATTTTTTAATATTTTGATGTAGCAATAGTCAAATTATAAATTATTTAAATGATCCAAGCCAAAATGTTACACCTCTATTAGATATTAAATTGTTTTTTTAAAGTAATAATAAATTTTGAACTAATTGTTTTTTCGTGCAAATCGAAGATTCTCTGAAAAGGAGTCAGACAATTTGCTAATTAGAACGTCGATATACGATTATTCGTAATGATCACAGACATACTCGTCGGAATAATTTTCGTCGATACCTGCGCAAGAATCATGAGCCCATTTATTACAATTTTTACACTGAATCTATAAGTCTGTGGATTCTGAGTAAAGTCCATTGCAATAAAGACAATAGCAATCATCATTTTTATATTTTAAACATTTGTTTTTTCAAATTTTTTGATTTTATTATTTTTATTTTTTTTTTTTTTTTTTTTTTTTTTGTTTAATTGAGGTCCTTTTTTTTGCTTCATTTTGATCTTTTCTTTGTTTGAGTTCTTGGCGATACCCAAAACTCGTAAGAATTGTGGTTTTCCCTCGACGACGTTTTCTGGGAGGAGAATCTTTAAATTTTGATGGTAATGGCTTTAGTAAAAAAAAAAGTTTTGTTATATGCTTTGTTGGGGAGGGGGCCATCGTGCCCCAGAAAAAAAAATTTTATCAATTTTCTGAAAAATTTCAACTAATTTATTCGGAATAAACAGAAAATAAACGAACTTGATGGTTAAAAACCACAAAAAGAAATAACTGACTTAAGGGGGCCGTCTTGCCCCATCTTCCCCTACACTGATTAGTTTTTTATTTGTTATTAATTGAAATAAAATGTAAAAATTTCTATGAAGAAATATGATTCTTATATTTTTAATAAAAAATGAATTCATAAAATATCTCTTAATTAGGCTTTATTGACCGCTGGCATCGAACTGTAATTAAAATCGGTATAAATTGTTTCAGATATTACATAGAACGAATAATATTTTTGAATTAGTATCAGTCGAGCCAGTTTTAACAGAGCGACCGTCAGATCGCAAGAAACACGCGTTACTTCTCAGTGACGATGAGGAAAATTTATCAGACGACAAAACGTTGAGATTAAAGGGACAAATGATTTACATGGATAATTGGCGGATGATGATGTACCTTGGCACTCCGGTAATGCCGGATCTTAACGCACTAATTGCAACTGGATTGTACATCAACGATCTGTCGATGCATGATTTTAGCAGAGATTTGATGCTAGCTGGTACTCAACAATCTGTAGAGTTAAAACTGGCATTGGATCAAGAACAATTAAAGAGCAAAAAGTTGGAAGAGTCAATGCGTAAGCTTGATGAAGAAATGCGTCGTACGGATGAACTTCTTTATCAAATGATACCGAAACAGGTTGCTGATAGGTTGCGAAATGGAGAAAATCCTATCGATACTTGTGAGGTGAGTTATTATTGATTTTAATTGACAATTAATCAATCAATTTTATACCAATATTTAACATTTAATCATTATTATTGCAGATGTTTGACAACGTTTCGATTTTATTCTCTGATGTAGTAACTTTTACAGCAATTTGTAGCAGATTAACACCTATGGAGGTTGTATCAATGCTAAATGGGATGTATTCACTTTTTGACACTCTCACGGAACGCAATCGTGTTTATAAGGTTTTATAAATGATTACAATAACATAAAGGACAATTTTTTTTTTTTTTTATTGCCCATTGTTGATTGTTTCAGGTAGAAACGATTGGAGATGCTTACATGGTCGTTTCTGGAGCGCCCTCTAAAGAAACAGATCATGCTGATCGTGTTTGTGATATGGCTTTAGACATGGTTGAAGCTATTACCGATTTAAAAGATCGTTCTACTGGTAATTGAATATTAAAATAAGTTTGGAAATCCCAAAAGTGCACGATTCATAATGCTCATTGAATTTTTAAGAGAACATATATTGTACTGATAATTTAGAGAGTAAAGTGGGAAAGAAGGAAATTTATGATTGTCGATTATTGGAGAAATTTAAATTCAAACTTTCGCGGTATTTCCCTTACTTAACTCAGCTCCAGCTGGTATCAGAATGTGCATGCGCATTACAAACAGAACTTACCATATAAATTTTATGAATAATAACAAAGAATATATTAGTTTAGTTTTTCATTAATTATAATTAAACAATACTGAGCTAGATAGACGTTTGTGATACAAAATCCTGATAGGGATACAATGAGTCTATTAATAGACATCCTTTCAATTAAAAGGAAAATGACGTAGATCATAAATTTTTCGTATAAAGATATCGTGTTTCCAAGCTGCAACCATTTTTCTATTTCTTGGAAAAAAAAAAGTTTTAATTTGTTTAAATGATTTTCTCGTCTCTACTATACTGAATAAATTTTTGAAAATTGGAGAGTTAATCTTGATTGAATTATCTATTCGATGGTACACAAATTATGTTGTGTCCGTGTACTAACCAGGAAAAAAATTTTTTCGATCGTAGAGCACTCTAATGCTTTGTGCAAAAAAACTTGACTAACTGATACCGTCTATTGTATTTCGAATTACGCGCGCTTACCGTGCGCCATCTATGTACGTCATTTCCCTTATTGCCAATATAAACTGAAGAAATACTGAACGACTAAATATTATTTTAGCGTTATATTCTTCACTGATCACTTTTTCAGTTAATTATATTGACAAAAACATATAATATTAATTAAAAACTATAGAACTCAATAATTTCAATTCAATTTTTTTATTAAAATTTAAACTTTTAACCAGAATAATTACACTAAGTATATATTTTAAAAATTGAAGAATTAATATCGTTGGAATTATCTGTTTGATAGGTACACAAATTATGTTGGTGTCTATTTGCTAACAAGAGTATACAATAATAATAGTTGCAGAGAGGAAGCAAAAAAATTTATCAATTGTAGAGCACTTTCTAATGCTTCGTAAAATCAATTCCATCCAAGATAATTTTGGACTATTTTAAACATTTTATGAATCAATAACTTTTATACTTCAAACGCTGACATTTTTTTTTTGTTTTATAATTTAAAGCTAAATGAAACAAATATTCGGGTTATTATGATTTTGTATAATTTATTTATACACAAGTTAAAATTATATGAACCATCGGAAAGTCTTGTTAGACTAAAGTTTCATTTCTTTTGAATGTAAAAGTCAATACTTGAATTTGTTCTAAATAAAACAAGAAAAATTTTTGTAAAAATATACCTTAATACAATTTAATTTTAATAAGAGTTATTTTTAAGGTGACCACTTGCAAATCCGGGTGGGTATCCATAGTGGTGCAGTAGTAGCAGGAATAGTTGGTCTAAAAATGCCGCGATACTGCCTGTTTGGAGACTCTGTAAATACTGCCGCGCGTATGGAGGCCACAAGTGAGGCCATGCAAATTCATATATCAGAATCGACTAAAGAGTTACTGTCGCCCTCCTATAAGGTCAAGGAGCGTGGTGAAATACAGGTCAAGGGAAAAGGTAATTAATATTTATAATTTACAATTTACAATTCATTTAATAATTCTTCGGTTAAATTCTATTCAATAGGGTCAATGAAAACATACTGGCTGGAAAAACGTCCCCTGCGCTCCAACGTAACAAAAAACATAATAATTCAAGAGCCGCCGATCTGGATGAACCGCGTTTCTGAGAAACGTGCCCTAATTTCTACAAGTACTGGAATTAATGCGGGCTGCGTATCTCCTAACAAATTAGCAGACAGCCACTCGCATGGAGATATGTCTGCAAAATCTCCTGGCTCAAGAATATCTTCTCCCACTCCTTTTGGATCTACGGGAATTATTTCTGATGAGAGGCGCATTTACTCGCCAATTACGTTTCAAGATGTTGCGCGTCGTTCAGAAGCTAACACCCCTACCAAAATCTCTAATACTTTAGGTAATTGTTATTGTTATTCATTAGATAATTGCATCAAAAATCGGCTACAGTATTTTTTATGAATAGTTATTTGTATAATCTATATAATTGAGAGAATAAGTAAAATTTTGGCTCAGATTATTTTAGGATTAAATGGTTATTTTAGTTAAATTTAGTATAATTGGAAAGGCCTTGACCTGAATTTGGATTTTTTTAAGTTTTCATATGCTTTTGTAAGATAGTTTATTTATTATGTGATAAATTTTCGGAGTAATTATAAATAGATTAGAATTTCATGTTAGATAAAATTTGTTTATTTAATTATTTTGTTTTGGACTTTTCGATCTTGTTATTTGCAAAATACTGATCTATATAATTAAGAGAATGAAGGAAATTTTGTGTTAGGCATATCTTTATTATTAAATGGATTTCTATAATATTATATTTAGTACCATCAAAAAGGTACTAAATATTACTTTTAAAGGTAGTAAATTGACGTTGATTTATACTTTTTCAAGATTTTATATATGTTTTGGTGATAATCAATTAAATAATGTCGAGTTTTTTGTTCTGTAACATTTTTTTATTAAATTATAGGTAATTGATCTACTCATAGTAATATTATTTTTAAAAGTTATTTCGTAATTGCCCACGCACTGTATATTGCGATTAAAAATGTCGAAAAATCATTAAGCCAACGTTTTTTTTCTATTCATAATTTATAATTTTTGACAGTCTCGTATACTGACAGAAAAATAGCGTTCTCGAAACTAAGAAAATCTAGTCAAATAGCATCATCAATATTATTTAATTAAAGTTTTTATACCTAAAATTATTTATTATATTGAACCTCAATAGTTACTTAAACTATTTTTAGTTAAGTATGGGCTCAAAAGTCACCTTGATTCACTTTAATTTAGAAAACAGAAAAATAATTCAGACAGCCCGGATCCGGAATCGATCCGGATTTTATGGTTACGCACCAAGGGCTTTTCCAGTTAAGCTATCTGAGACATTGTTCTCAACAATTTTTTCAGTCACCTAACAATTTTTTGTTTAACACGATAACAGAAAAATATTTATTAAAATATAGTTCTTATAACTATTTACCCATAGTAACTTCAATTAATGCATAGTTCGAGTAACTAATACAAAAAAAAAGTTCAGAAAACTATATACTTGGGATATTATTATTAATATTATTATGATCATAATATTATACGAAAAGTTACAAAAGACAAATAAATTTTTATTATTGCACTATATGTAATTAATAAATGTAAAAATTTTAACTGGCTTCATTTAAATTATGGCTTATAAATATTTGTAGAAATTTGTTTCAATTTTTTAAATATAATTTAACACCAAATTTTTTATTTAACCCCACAGAACTTCGTTCCAAATCAGTCAGTGAAGTATCATCAACTTCTACAGCAGTTTGCAATCCCTCAAACGTCTTCGGCTCTCTACTGAACGATACCGAGGAACATTTTCGTCTTCACCGAGACAGTCTTCCAATCAGAGAACAATCAGCAGGTGTACACGGTAGAACAGAATCGAAAAGCAACAGCAATATCAGCAATAAATCGGGATTAAGCAGCACAATAGACACCAAATCCCCCGACACAGAATTTTCACGAGAAGCGACGCCATGTAACGATATCAACGTCCTCATGAACGCATTCTGCCCTGCAATGGAAAGCAATGAATTTATCGACAATTCGCAATTATTAATCAGGTCCGACCAATGTTGTCCTGGTTTCGCAATCACCAAAAGCGGAAAAGCTAAACATCATGGCAATGGATGCTCCATTTGTTAAACTTGATATTTTATTAAATTAGTTGATAGATAATTGAAAATTAAAATATTATATAATTTTATTAATTGTTAAAGTGTTGATATTTATGGGTTATTAATTTAATTAATATTATATGTATGTATGTAATAAGTAATGATTTTATATATATATATATATATATATATATATATATATATATATATATAAATTATAATATTACTGTTATTATTAAAAAAATAAAACAATTGTAGTAATAAAATATTTGCATGTAGAATTACTACTTATTAAAGTAAAATTGGTTTTAGTGATTAGAGAAGTCGTAAGTCTAGAAAAAATCGGTCTGCCGTACTCGGGAATATGACCCACGCATACTTGCACAGTCTTCCGGATATCGCGGATTAACAGCGGATTATAGGGTATATTGTATAGAAAGGATAGCTGTTCCATATAGTACCTCTGTACAATAGCAAAGCTGGATAAGAAAAAATAGACATTTTTCAAGATAAAGAATCGTATATACGATAGTGTTTGTTATATGAAGTCTATTCACACCTTTACTTAATGTTATTACACTCAACTTGCTTTATTATTGTTTTTTTCTACCGTTAATTTATTTTATTCACTTACGTGGGCGGACCGCGAATGAAGAGGGGTTCTACGGATGAGAGTGGGTAGAAGTGTAAAGACTATTTAAGCTACGATTATTATATGTGTTTTAAGTTTGTATCTATTGTATCATTTATCGGGAATTAACCGAGGTTGTTAATATAGAAGTAGAATTTCGGAATTGGGTTGTGGGAAGTGGTTCTTGGAATTATATCATAATTAACATAACTATCTATTCAATTTTTGCAAAATTAATGATTTTTAATATTTTCCAATTAATTGGAATTTAAAAATTAATAATTTTTATATTTTTTCCTTATTTGTTATGTCACAAAATTAATTTGTAATCTTAACGAAACAATTTTCTTGCCAGGCGCGCAGTAGCCTATCGGATCCGGCCCTTGCTATCAAAGCATTGGACCGGGTTCGAATCCGGCGTACACCAATGAATATTTTCAATATTTAAGTGTATTATTCTGCTCAACCCAAGAAATACAAACGAGTTCCAATCTCAAAAGTTTACCCCCTACCGTAGTCGCTCATGACCTTAGTAGTTTATGCGACTTTAAACAAATCAAAAAAAAAAAAAAAAATTTTCTTGCCGTAGCGAAGTGATTTTGTTGCCAAAAATAGTTGTAAGATTCTGAGAAACTTTTCTCCAAAATTTTAATTAAAGATATAATTTCCAATTTTTTTATTATTATAACAATTAAAAAATCCTTGACATAGTTCTCTCTGCAGGTTACACCCCTGGAACTTCTTGTTATATTAAAGTTCAAAACGCTAAAAAACTTTTCTATTGCAAAGTCTGAACTTCTTGAAACTCAAAATACAACTCCAAGATCGAAAATCCAGTTACTGTATTGGAAAAATATTTTTTTGGAAATTTAACTAACAAAATTAGTCGTTATTTGAAAAAATTAATTTAGCTATTTTGATAAAATCTAAAATTTTCATTTCCAAACTGTAACTTTGACAGACTTCAAATTTGGTGGGAGTCTTCGTTTATCATGTCAAGTTCAGCTAAGGATGAATTTTATCAAATTGAAACCCCAAAAGGGACTGTGCAGGCGTTAACAATGAAAATCTCTTTTTTCAAAACAATAGTTTCTATGAGCTCGAAGTTTTGTTGGAATATTTTATTTATAATGTAAAAATCGGGCGCGCAGTAGCCTATCGGATCCGGCCCTTGCTTACCAAAGCATTGGACCGGGTTCGAGTCCGGCGTACACCAATGAATATTTTCAATATTTAAGTGTATTATTCTGCTCAACCCAAGAAATACAAACGAGTTCCAATCTCAAAAGTTTACCCCCTACCGTAGTCGCTCATGACCTTAGTAGTTTATGCGACTTTAAACAAATCAAAAAAAAAAAAAAAAATTTTCTTGCCGTAGCGAAGTGATTTTGTTGCCAAAAATAGTTGTAAGATTCTGAGAAACTTTTCTCCAAAATTTTAATTAAAGATATAATTTCCAATTTTTTTATTATTATAACAATTAAAAAATCCTTGACATAGTTCTCTCTGCAGATTACACCCCTGGAACTTCTTGTTATATTAAAGTTCAAAACGCTAAAAAACTTTTCTATTGCAAAGTCTGAACTTCTTGAAACTCAAAATACAACTCCAAGATCGAAAATCCAGTTACTGTATTGGAAAAATATTTTTTTGGAAATTTAACTAACAAAATTAGTCGTTATTTGAAAAAATTAATTTAGCTATTTTGACAACATTTGTTATATCAAATGACTAGTTTATATTGAACCAGCAAAAAATTTGTTGTTATCTTGACACAACAATCTTGTTATTTCAACAAATCTATTTGTTCATTCAACTAAAATATTTTGTTGAATCAACTAACAGATTTTGTTATACCAACAAAACTGTTTTGTTATAACATATAAATTACTCACCATAACTTAGACTTGGTTATCATAACATATATGATTTGTTATCCCTCTGCTAACATATTCATTTGTTACCACATGTCTTATGTTGTCTTAATAAAAAAACTTTTTTGCTAGATATTGCAATTTTTCATTTTTATAAAGACTTACATTGAACTAATGTTAAAAATGAATAAGTTTGAAACGAATAGTGACAGGTTAATTCTGTTAATTGAATTTCAAGTTCATGCGATTTACTTTAATTATCGTTGATTAATTTGCTTCTACTTTCATGTTAAAATTATTAAATATTGTATGACATTGCTTATTATTTATTTAATATAAACAATAAGATTTGTAGTTTTATTGTTAAATTAACAATCGGAGGAATCAAGTATCGATTTTTTAGTGAAAAAATTTTTTTTTAATATTCTAATTAAAGTTATAAATGGAAGATCGTAAATCATAACTTAATTTCATTAAATAAATGTTGGAGATTATAGAGTAAGCTTCAATTCATACTACTGCGACTTTATTCAAATAAGAGGTCACAATTATGTCCACATTGTTTTACAAATTTCAAAGGATCAGAATATTATTTTAGTTGAAAATTTTTCAGATATTAATTCTAAAAACTAAAAAAGCCATTCGGCAGCCGAAATGGAAGTGGATTTTATTAATAAGTGAAATAATAATAAAATAAAAAATATTTATAAAATCTTATTTCCAATATCAATATATTCATTAAAATTTATGATTGTCTATAAATCATTTATTTACAACATTTTCTAAACTCTTGAATCATTAGAATCTTTTTTCAGATTTAACTATGTAATCCAGAATATTATTGTGTTTAATTTTTGTTAAAGAATATTTAATAAGATACTAATGTACCTGTTAAAACAAATGCAATAGTAAAATTTCATTGAAGCTATATAGGAAATTTTAATTAGATTTGACACACATTTTATATGTACATGTATAAACTTGAACCACAAGTATTTTTTAATCCAGCTCGACGATCTGAGTCGGAAAATATTAAAATTTTTCAAAAGTTTTGGGGACAAATATAATAGTTAGATATTTAAGAAATCTACTAAAAAATTTAAAGGTCATTTACCTTAAAAATTTTTCAAAATAAAATCGAATTAAAACGAATTTTACTGATAATTACAATTGACTCATCCGAGAAAAATGACCAAAGTCATGATTTTTTATATATTTTTTTCGGATGGAATGTTACTCGAATACACATTTGTAATGGATGAAACACGTTTTATTTGTCTCTTCTAACCGCGGAAACTACTTACCAGACTTACACCCCTATCAATCCAAACTATTCTATTCAACAAATCGATTTAAAAGTTCAATTTCCTGTATGATGCATCCATATACATTTATCCGCTACACATATTTTTAAGTCAAGTAAGTTTAATTTTTTTGTAACAAAAATTTTTTTTTTTTAATTTATAATAAATTTTTTTAATAGTAAAAAAAAATGTCTAATACAATTAGAGTGTTTAACTTTTAGTAAATAAAAGGTACTAAAATTATTTTGGTTTGATGATTAATTTTTTATTAATAAATTTTTTTTTTAACAGTAAAAAAAATTTGGTGTTATAATTAGAGTATTTAAATTAAAGTAAATAAAATTATAGTATTAAAATTTTTTTGGTTTTATTAACGAGATTTTCACGTGGTCAACAGAATTATAAGGCGATTAACTGTAATCTGTTGCTTCAAATGGGCTTCGGATGTCTAGATCATTGTCAAATATTTTCGTACGAATTAAGAGAGACGTTTTGAAATAATGCACTTTAGATCGCTACTATTTTATTAAAATTGTAATCAACTAACTTTAATTTTTAACAATTTTAACTTATTAAATTTTCGAAAGTTTGAATAAAGCTAAAATTAATTAAAAAAAAAATAATTGTTTAATTTTACGGTCAAACTATAAAAAAATTGGAAGTGGAAAAATCATTTTCAATGTCAATTTATCAATTATAATTTTTTTTTTAATGATTTAAAAGAAAACAAATTGACATTTTTAAGTTAAAAATTTTTTTTTCCACACAGAATACTGGAAAAATTACAAAGTTTTATTAACGATTTTTGGCTGACATAATTCTTTCCGATATGGAAGTAGATTTCATCATGAATAGAAAAAAAATAGAACGAGGATTGTAGAAAAAACTAGGATTTTTAACTTCTATGCAATCGACAAAAATATATATCGACGGAAGAATTTTAAAACCAGTGCAATAACAAATTTCATAATTGGCATAGCGGAATAGGACATAATTTTAAGACTACACATATGATATGGTACTCAAATTAAAGCTTATTTTTGAAGCTTTTAGATGCAATTTACAGAGATTCAATAAGTTATCCCATTCCGAAGTTATTCGGGTTGAAAAGTGAAAAAATATGAATTTTTATAATTTTGAAAATTTTTAAATCCTGGAATTTCTAAAAAATTTTACGACTACACATATGATATGGTACTCCAATTGAAGCTTATTTAAAGAGCTTTCAGATGCATTTTACAGAATTTCAATAAGTTATCCCATTCAAAAGTTATTCGAGTAAGAAAGTGAAGAAATATGAATTTTTATGATTTTAAAAATTTTGAAATCCTGGTATTTCTGAATTACTTGACCGATTAAGCTCATCTTCGAACTTAACTTTGGTATTTATCTGTAGAATAAGTATGTTGAGTTTGGTAGAGATCTGTTGTAAATTGGCGACGCTATCGTCGTGACAAGCCGCGTTATATATCCGATACATATACAAACATATATAAACTTTTGAACCATATGCATTTTCCGACTCAGCTCGACGAGTATAGTCGAAATATAGCAAAATTTTTCAAAAGTTCCGTCGCATGAGGACCAATGCAATAGTTAGATTTCTCTGAAATCTACAAAAAAACCGTACAATTATTAAGATAATATTTTTAATTATCATTGCAAATCCATCATGAAATAAAATAATTTGAAAGAAAAATATTTCAAAAGATTAAATTTTCAATTTCTCATGCTACAAAAATAAATTGAACATAAAACTAACTATAATTACAAAAAAATTCGACTAAAAATGAAGTATTAATTTTTTTGGCAAAAAATCATAATTAATGTCCAAATATTCTCTTCAGTCATATACAATTACACGCTAAAAGTAATAAAAAAAGCAAGTATCAAATCGTGTCAATTACGCAAATCCTTTTAATGACCTGCCTATTAAAAATTTTTTTACACCCCTTAAAAATAGCAATTCACACCACTAGCGTCATATTTATGCATTTTATCTAAAAAAAACTGCAAGCAGTGTACAATTATACTTTTCAATTGACGAGCATCACGTGGGAGTTTTTTTTTTGCATTTAAGTCCTAAGTGTTAGCCTTTTCACGCGTTTCCAAGATTTTTATAAAATTTAATTTTCCCCGTCTGTTTATGTTAAGATAAAAATACAAATTTCTGCTTAATGATAATTAAATGATATAACAGCTTCAGACTTTTTTAAATATTCTCCCGAATAAATTTTAATTACCGTGGCTCAAGACAAAATTATTATTAATAAAAAGAAAAAAAAAAGAGTACATTACAGATTATTAAAATATTAGATTGCCTGAAGGTTCGGCGTCGTCGAATAACAAAATACCGATCTCGGGGTGTGTTTAGGATCAACCTACAACCTGGAACCTACTGTCTTTGATTATTATTTACGATTTATTATCAACAACGGCCATAAATAATGAGGTATAATTACGTGGTCGTCTGGGTACGGGTTACCGGTAACTAAGGTGTAATTGAATCAAAATATAATGTCGTGGTATCGTGTTAAATGCGTGGCAAATAATAATTCAGTGGATACTGTCTTAGTATCGTTATCCCTATCCTTATCATCGCAGGTACAACGATCATGATCATATCCCGAGGTTACGGAGGGAGCGGGAAGGGAGCTGCGCACACCTACATTATCTCTATCTGTATCTGTATATATAAGGGTGTCATCTCCGTATCCCGGACACTCGTTACATCTCTCAGCTTCACACGCGATCTCCTTTAAAAAGTTTTTCATAACAACAAAATCGTACATACCAACATTTTTTGTGGGTTCATTTATTCGTTCAGTGCTACATTTTGGCTAATTATGGTGAGTGAATTTTTTATATTTACAAATTTTTTTAGTTTTACTCGTAGGATTCATTTTTTTTATTCTTTGTTAATTGAATTTTTTTAAATTGCGCGGGTGGAATTTTTCTTGTGCTGTTTCTTCTTTATTTTTTAAAGTGAATTGTGTGGGTTTAAAAAAGACTCTGACAATCATACACTAAAAAAAAAATTAATTTGAGTCAACAGAAAAATTCTTAGACCAAAAAAATAATTTTGAAGAGTTTTATTGTCTTGATTCTTGAATCAAGACAAAATTCTCGAATCAATCAAAAATTACTTAAACCAAGAAAAATTTCATCGTATCAGAATTTTTCTACTCAAATCAAATAGATGAAATTCTTTAAAATTATTTTCTTTATTCAAGTTAATTTTTTTGTGTCAAAATTTTATTGAGAAAATTGAAGAATTTTTGGTTTAGGTTCATTCTATAAAAGTTCAAATTTTTAAAAGATAAAAATGATTAATCGCCGAAAAGAATACTTAAAATTGTTTCAAAAATAATTTTATTTCACCTAAGAATAAAGCTTTATAAAATTTTGTCTGGCCATTTTCTGTGTAAAATTTAATGAAATTTTACACAGAAAAACTTTTTTCCGGGATTTTCAGAATTTAAAAAAAAATTTCATCATTCACAAAAAAAAATTTCTGGTAAATTTTTGGCAGTAATTTACTCAGAATTTTCATAAATTTTTTGAAGCGTTCATCGGTGAAAATAATAAAAAATTGCATTAACAGTTTCTGTACTATTCACTTTCTGACGAAATTCATTTGCGGATCGTAAACTCACGGTATTATTGTCCGCGTTAATTACGCGCTGTAAGTATCAGCATTAATTATCCTCAGTTTACAGTGATAAAAAAATCTAGACACCTGATACGGAGATGTCTTTCAAGGTGAAAAAAAGTTATTAGAAACACGAGAGTTGTTGTGCAAAGATACATTGTTCGATCCTGGAATAGAAGGGCTAATTTATTTTTCAATTTCTTAACTTTATGCAATATTAATCTTATGCAATATTAATCTTATGCAATGACAATATTAGTTATTATGAGATAAAATTTCAAATTGACTTTACCAATTTAGAATTTTTTTTATTTTAACAATACAGTCAAATTTTATCGTTGAAATACAAAATTGATAGAGTTTTTTCTAATAAATAAGAATTTTTTTAAGAAAATTTACACGCTCAAAAAAAAGTTGAAGCATGTACATTTAAGCATCATTAGGTTTCATGATCTGATAAACCAATTGCTTATGCATCATAAATTTCAAAATGAATTTTAACCTACACGTGATTTGAGTAAAATGCAAACTTGCTTCATTTCAAATCTTAAAAAAAATATTTTCTAGTCAATTTGGAATTATTTAAAAAATTTTTTAAATAATATTCTATCCGAACAAGTCTCAGAAAGTAAGTAAGTAGACTCTAGTCAGGAAAGAAAATCGAGTACCATCGGCCAGCATCAGCTAGTACCGGAAAATTTTTTTAGAACGCAGTTTATCGTTTTAGCCGAAGTTAATTTGGTTTGAAAACGTCAAATTGGTCTGACTATAATCCATTGACATGTTCGGAAGAAACTACGAGTTAAGTAAATATACCGAATAAAAACAAACAAGTTGATTCAAAACTAAAAACTCAGTTTACGAAGACTCAATTTGAAAAACTGTTTCTGAGTTATTGTCTTCAATTATTCAATTATTTATTGTTTTTCCTTTTTTTTTTTTATGAATTTTGTTAAAGAAATATTTTGTTTCCCAAGATATTAAAGTATTAGAAGAAAATGATTGAAATAATAACTACGTATTAAATAGTTAAACGCTGTAGATGAAACTCCCTCGGAGAAAAGTTTAGTCGGGAGATTAAGGAGATCAAAAATAACTTTTTCGCGTCTATCGTACTAATTTTTTACGGGGATAATTTATTCTTTGGACAAAAAATAATAAATATTACTCTTGAGGTGTAGCTTATTTTCTTTTGGACATATTTTTTTTTTATTTTTTAATAAATTTATATATGATTAAACTAAGACATAACGACCTTATGTTTTATAAAATTTAATAGGCTGAAAAAAACACTCTTTAACTTAAAAAATTTGTATTTTCTTCTCAATATTATGTCCGAAAAAATATGATTTTGGATTTCGGTAGCCGGGCTAAAGGAGGTTCGGACAACAAGTGAATTTCCCTAACGGCTGAGCCGTTAAGTTTTTATTTTATGGGTTGGTGAAGGTAAAAACCCCGGAGGGGGCTCCTCGAACACGACAATCGACCTCGGAAATAATAATAATAGCTTCAACTTACTATTTCGAATCTTGACTCCAAAAAAATTATTTAATAAATAAAAAATGAAAAAAATGCATTTGTGGACAATAAAGGAAAATACAAGTGAAATTGAAAAAATTATTGTCTTTGAAAAAGTGCCTTGAAAAAAGACAACTCGATTCAAGAGAAATAATTTTGGTGTAAGAACGAAATTATTTTAAAGAGAGCGAGCTATAATTGCCTTGGCTCAAGAATTTTTTGTCTTAAAGTGTGAAATACAATTAAATTTTTTATTGAAAAATTCAATTCTCCAAAAGTAACAATAAATTCAGAAACTAACAATAAATTTTAATTGAAGAATTTATTCTCATATTAGGAATTGATTGAATGTCTTTATTTTCTGATTTGGGCAAGTAAAATGATTGAAATTTTGTTTAATTTTTTGAAATTGAGGTTGAAAACAGAGATTACACTAAAGAGAAATTATTTGATCCAAGAGAAATATTCTTGATTTAATAAATTATTTTAAAGAGACCATAGTGTCTTGATTCAAAAATTAGTCGTTTTGAAACTTGTTTTATTAGTGAAGAATAGTTTTATATGTAAAGATTAAGAGTATACTATCTCTGTGAGATACAATCAAAATTTGTTTTCTTTATAATATGTTTTATTCTCGGTTCAACAGCAAGTTTTTTTATTTAAAATTAAAAAAAATAAATATTTCACTTCAATTCGGGAAAGAAATTTTCGAGTGAAATATATTTAAATCTTAATTAAAAATAATAAATTACTTGGTTGAATTCTTAAAATTGTTAAATGAAGAAATGTTTTTTTTTTATTTTCTTAATTTTGTTCGTGAATTTCTAGAACTAATTCAAACTAGACATATCAAAACAAAAGTAAAGTTTTGAAGAGAACACACGGAAAAAAGCAATTGAAAAATTACACTTTAATGTACAATTTACAGAAGCTGGATGCCCATAGCAACAAACAGAAAAAATTACAGCTTGAAAATGAAATTGTTACAAAGTTTTTAGGAATTACATTATAAAACTATAAAATTACACTCTAAGCTGTAAAAATTAATACTTGGATTACTCTTTCTATATTACATACATAATTACTTTATTTAATTATTTTTTCTCGGGTTTGTTATTTTTACAGATCTATTTTTGTAAATTCAACAGTTTTTTTAATCAATATATATAAAATCATTTATCAATGTAATTTTTACATATTCATACGTGTAAAACTGACAATGGCCGTTACATTTCTACGTAACCAATTCTGTAATTTTTACTTATGATTTTTTTCTGTGTATTTATAAACCTTCAACCTGAAATATAAACAAAAAAAAAATCAAACAGAAAACAAAACAAAACAAAAATGAAATTAAATTTTTAGATTGCCTACGGATTACTATACAGCCTCGTGATAATTGGAAACGGCATATTGTCATCGGCAACAATCCTGTCTCCTCTAAAAGTGGACCCGTCATCCTTGCACCTCTACAAAACCAATTTTCGTCCGGTGAACGAGCTGGACTACATCCTGAAGCGCAGCGGGGTAAGAACCGCCGATGAAACCCCAGATTCAAAAGAACGTCGCAGCCAAATGGGGTCATCATTCATCCGGTTTGGACGGAACCACATGGCCAATAATGGGGAAAACATCGAGTACTCATTGAACACTGTAAATGACCTCGACGCTTCTTCAAGAATTCCCCGCGGACGTTCCGATGTCATCATCCGTTTTGGTCGCAGCGGATCCGGAAAACTGGATTCGATGATTCTGCGCAACAATAAATTACTGAAGGTTATTCCGATCGAAATTTTTTGCGCAGATATTTTGGCTGGTGACAATTCTCCCGAACTCACGCGTCTCTGTAATTCGTTTATGTCCAATGATGATAAAAATGAATAATTTTGTTTCATTTTTCATAAAACTTTTCTTTTTTGTATTACGAATACACTTTGTATTGTTTCTCGCATTCGCAAGATGTTATTATTATTATTATTATTATTATTATTTTTATTTTTATTACTTTCATTTTAAGTTGAATTTAATTTTATTGAAGTAAGTAGAGAATTAAATGTATTATTCTGTTGTTACATTGAGGATTCATGACTCGATTATAGCTGCTCAGCTGTTCGATATTCAAGGCTAATCGTTATATTGTTCGTTACGTAAAAGTACATCCACCCGACACCCGACGGACGACGGATTTGTCAACTTCAAAATTACACATCGATATATTCAATTACTATTCCATTATTCTTAGTCACGTTTTTTGTATTGTTAGTTTTTTATTATTATTTTTCAAGTAAATTTAAATTATTTTTATAACTTATTAATTACTGACGTGATCTGTCTATTTGTAATGATAAATGTCTCGAACTCGGGGTAACTTGTATATGTATTTAGATTTAATACTTAAAGTTATAAATAAATAAAAAGAATATAATGGCTGGAATAAATTGTTTTATTTTTTATTTATGTATTTACATTTTAAAATAGTTTTTTAAGGAAGTGTGATATGCTCATCATTTCATTACCATCGAGAGAAATTTTTAATTAATGATATCTGATTATATCTTACCGGGTTTTGTCATATAGAAACATTTTAAAGATATAATTACATATATCAGATGGATCAAATATAATTTTTCCCCAGTAAAAATTTTTTAATTTGATAATGTAAGGAAAATTTTTTCTTTACTTTTGAGAAAAAAAAACATAATAAAAATTCAACAAATAATTTTCGAAAATTATTTAAGATTATTATTTAAAATTATTAAGATAACAAAAATTTTAAAAAGAAATTCTTCGTATTTTCCTTTATATTAGCCTCCCTCACTAAATTTTTTGGTTATTTTCTATCGAAGCCCTCGGGGAAATAAAAAAACCAACTTCCAATACAACAAAATTCAGTTGTCAAAAATGAATGAATTTTTATGTCATCTTATGTTACTTATATAAATTTAGACTTCTTACAAAGAGAACATAACGCACTGGTGAATAAAACAGTAGTGAAAAGAATGAATTCAAAAAAAAAATATCCCATCCTACACATATATGTATACTGGCTTATATCAGTGAACATGTAATATTCAAAGATAAATATGTTGAAAAATAAAACAAGTAAAGAAGGGCATAAATGAAACGAAAAAGAATGAAACTAAAATCGTGTAAACTAAAAATAAAAACCGTAATGAAGATGAATGATAAAAGTACGAAGCTAGAATATCTGTTCATTAATCCCTCGAGCTATTTTCCTTGTCCACATAACATGTTTCTTATATATCCACATATGGATTTCTAATTTGATTATGATTTTATTAGAGCAGACCCATGTATCAAGTTGATAATTGTTACTAATGCGAGTTTATTGGACAAAATTAATCTTTTCAATATCAATTTATCGAATATATATAAAAAGAAGAAACATCTATAACAACAAAATCATTTATATTAAAGAAAAAATAAAAGTAGAGCATGAAAACTTTTCGATACTCGTGGTTTATTTTGTTCTTAATCCAGTTCTTAACTCCCCCTCTTATATTCGCATTGTTAAGGATTCCACGAGGCATCTAGGTACTATGCTCAGTCTCGTTAAATAATTTACCGTAAAAGCTTCGTAGAAATAATCATAACTCTCGTGATTTATAAATCACAAATTACCTCAATAATTTATATAAAATTAAAATTTTTAACTATTTATTTTTTCACAGTCGATTTTAAAAATTTACATGAAAATAAAAACAAATAATAATAAAATTAAAAAAAATGAATCAATCGGAGTCAAGGGAAAATTTAGTGGAGAATGAAGCGCGAGCTCCTTCTATGCAATCTCTGCAGCCACCTACGGAGTATGTGCTCGGTCAAACTGAAAAACATTTTTTGCTAAGTGCTGAGAGAGGAGACTGCGCTACTGTCCGAAGGTGAGTTTACATAAAAATAATTGACTGGAAAAATGAAAATAATTAATTAAAATTGAACATTTATTTAAAATTCAGGCTGCTGGAGGAGCATAAGGACCACCCGGAGATCCTCAATATAAATTGTGTGGACCCGCTGAACCGGTCGGCATTGATTGCGGCGATCGAGAATGAAAATGTAGAGCTGATACACATACTTCTTGAGTGGAAAATCCAAGTTAAAGATGCGCTTTTGCATGCAATTAAGGAGGAGTATGTCGAAGCGGTTGAGATTCTTTTGGACTATGAGGAAAAGATCCATGTTCCAGGAGAACCTTACGTTCGTATTACACCGTTTTAATTAATTTTTTAATTGGTTTTTAGTGGTGATTGTTGATAGTGAAAAGTGGAAATTTTTTTTATTGATTGTAGAGTTGGGAAGCCTTGGAAAGTGGTGACTATAATTTCACACCAGATATCACGCCGCTGATTTTAGCAGCTCATAAAAATAATTATGAAATACTTAAGATTTTACTTGATCGCGGGGCTACTTTACCGTGTCCTCATGATGCAAGGTTATTGTTATTATTATTATTATCATCATTGTTTTTATATTTGGCAATCAAGTTAACTTTAAAATTTTTTTTTATTAACTAACAATTCATGTGATAGTTAGTCTTCTACCCTGGTTTAAAAAAACATCTTCAAACAATTGTAAATTACAAATAAGCATAAATTATAACAAAAGACATAACATCATCTCATAAATTTTTTTTACAAACTTTTTAACAAGTGAATATAATGAAATTTTAACAATTGATTATTACATAATTTTTAATAACAACCACAAATGAAGGTAAATATCTCGTACCTTACAAAAACTGAACACTGAAAACAAACATTAACTTGATTCAAGAAGGAAATTTTTGAACCAAGAAAATTATTTTAAAGTGCTTTTAATTTATTTTATTAATAAGGAAGTACGACCGCCAGGCGGGGTGGGGATAGGTATCGACTCTAGCGCGGTAAGGGGAACGCAGTAACCATATGATTTTTTTCAATATATAGATATCCATTTAACATTGGCTAGTGGCGGCATTTATTTTTCTTTTAATTAATACACTTTAATTAGTCGGACAAGTCTAAATGTTTTTGAATTAAATTTATCACTAATATATTTACTTTGATCCATAAGTTTTTTAAAAATATTCACCGACAGTTTTACGAGAAAAATACAGAAATGTATCAATGTTTGAAGGTTACCCCATAAGACCAATGTTAAATTGCTCAACTTTAAAGTTAATTATTTATTTAAATGATCGGGCAATCTCCTTCAAATTTTCGGAATTTGTTTAGACATATTTAAACTTCATATTAAAAAAAAAAATCAAGCCTTTTATCAAAAGTTGCCTTGGTGCTCGTACTTCCTTTTAAAGATAATTAGGACAAAAGTAAGGAAAACTGTAGTGAGGGAAATAGTAATTTAATGCATTTACAAATGAATAAGAAAAAAAATATTTAAATATATCAAGGACTCTCTTTATAATACTAAATTAGTGAAATTTTAATTTATTGAATTATGAAAACTACATTAGTCTTTATTTTGTACTAATTTAAAAAGTCGTGAAATTTAAGTTCACTACAGAATTATTAAAAAAAAAATCACTTTTTCATTTGTGGAATTTCACTTCCAATTGGGTCATTCCACGTCAAATCGACCAATAGTTGGACTCGACCCCTTTCGATTTGGATAAATTTTGGTCAGAAGTTTTCTTTTATCCTATAACGAAGTTCTGCCAAAGGAAAAAAATTAAAAAAATTTTTTTCAAAAGTTATGCAAAATCCAAAATTTCACTATTTTCCATATTTTTTAAATTTATGTTTCAAAAATCTCGAAAACTATTGCAATTAAAAAAATCGCTTATGGTAAACTTCAAAGGGGACACTTGGGGCTATTAAAAAAAAAAAAATTT